GTAAAGACAATAAGCATTTTCTTCTGTCCTCCTCTTTGTTGTCATCCAGTGATGTTTAACTCTTTGTGACCCCATTTGAGATTTTCTTTTTTTTTAATTAATTTATTTTTAATTTTCAACATTTACTTCCATGAGATTTTGAGTTCCAATTTTTCTTCCCATCTCATCTCTCTTCCCACCCCAAGATGGCATGCATTCTGAATACCCCTTCTCCTAATCTTCCCTCCCTTCTATCTCTCACCCCCTTCTCTTATCCCCTTCCCCTTCAATTTTCCTGTAAGGCAGGATAGATTTCTATGCCCCATTTCCTGTATGTCTTATTTCCCAGATGCATGTGAAAACAATTTTTTTTAACTTTTGTTTTTAAAACTTTGGGTTCCAAATTTTCTGCCTTCCTTGGCAGCTATGTGGCACAGTGGATAGAGCACCAGCCCTGGATTTAGGAGGACCTGAGTTCAAATCTGGCCTCAGACACATAACACTTACTAGCTGTGTGACCCTGGGCAGGTCACTTAACCCGACTGCCTAACCAAAAAACAAAAACAATTTTTCTCCCTCCCCACCCACCCACCCACCCTCATTGAGAAGGCAAGCAACTCCATACAGGTTATACATGTGTAGTCATGCAAAACATTTCCATAGTAGTCATGTGAAAAAATAAGTATACTTCTCTTAATCCAATCCCACCCCCCATTTATTCTATTCTCTCTTTTGACCCTGTCCCTCCTTAGAAGGCTTTGCTTCTGATTACCCCCTCCCCCAAGCTGCCCTCCCTTCTATCATTCTCTTGCTCTCTTGTTCCCTTCCCTCCCTATTTTCCTATAGGGTAAGATAGGTTTTCATACCCAATTGAGTGTGTATATTATTCTCTCCTTAAGCCAAATCCAGTGAGAATAAGATTTACTCATTTCCTCTCACCTTCCCCCATTTCCTCTCCACCTTAAAAGCCTTTTCTTGTCTGTTTTATGTGAGATAATTTACCCCATTCCACCTCTCCTCTCCTTCTCTCCATATAATCCTCTCTCACCCCTTAATTTTATTTTCTAGATATCACCCCTTAATCTTCAACTCACCCTGTGCCCTCTATCTATCTATCTATTTATCTATCTATCTCTCTATCTATCTATCTATCTATCTACATACATACATACATACATACACACATACATATAATTTTTTCCCTCCAACTACTCTAATACTGACAAAGTACTCATGAATTACAAATATCATCTTTCCATGTAGAATATAAACATTTCAACCTTAATAAGTCTCTTATGATTTCTCTTTTCTGTTTATCTCTTCATGTTTCTCTTGAGTCTTATATCTGAAAGTCAAATTTTCTATTCAGCTCCAGTCTTTTCATCAAAAATGCTTGAAAGTCCTCTATTTCACTGAATATCCATTTTTTCCCCTGAAGGAATATACTCAGTTTTGCTGAGTAGGTGATTCTTGGTTGTAATCCTATTTCCTTTGCCTCTGGAATATTATATTCCAAGCCCTGTGGTCCCTTAATGTAGAAGCTGCTAAATCTTGCATTATCCTGATTGTGTCTCCACAATACTTGAATTATTTCTTTCTGGCTGCTTGCAATATTTTCTACTTGACCTGGGAACTCTGGAATTTGGTTACAACATTCCTAGGAGTTTTCCTTTGGGGATCTCTTTCAGGAGGTGATCAGTAGATTCTTTCAATTTCTACTTTGCCCTCAGGTTCTAAAATATCAGGGCAGTTTTCCTTGATGATTTCTTGAAGGATGATGTCTAAGCTCTCTTTTTGATCACGGCTTTCAGATGGTCCAATAATTTTTAAATTCTTTCTCCTAGATCTATTTTCCAGGTCAGTTTTTTTCCAGTGAGATATTTCACATTGTTTTCTATTTTTTTCATTCTTTTGGCTTTGTTTTATAGTATCTTGATTTCTTATATAGTCACTATCTTCCAATTGCTCTATTCTAATTTTTAAGGAAGTATTTTCTTCAGTAAGCTTTTAGACTTCCTTTTCCATTTGGCCAATTTTGCTTTTAAGGTCATTCTTCTCCTCATTGACTTTTTGGACCACTTTTGCCTTTTGGGTTAGGCTATTTTTTAAGGTGTTATTTTCTTCAGTATATTTTTGGGTCTCCTTTAGCAAGCTGTTGATTTGTTTTTCATTATTTTCTTGCATCACTCAGTTTTTCCTCTACTTTTCTTACTTGCTTCTCAAAATCCTTTTTGAGCTCTTCAGTGGCCTGGGACCAATTCATATTTTTCTTGGAGGCTTTGGATGTAGGAGCTTTGACTTTGCTGTCTTCTTCTGGTTGTATGTTTTGATATTCTTTGTTACCAAAGTAAGATTCTATGGTCTGACTCTTTTTGCACTGCTCGCTCATGATCCCAGCCAATTATTTGAGTTATAAACTCTTTATTAAGGTAGGGGTCTGCTTCCAGTGTGCGGAATGTACTGTCCCAAGCTTTGGGGGTTTTGTGCAGCTTTCAGAGATACTTCTAGGGACCTGTAAATTTTCAGTTCTTCCAAGGTGGTATGATAAGGGGCGAGGTGTTTATTCCTTTCCTGACCTGTGCTCTGGTCTATGAGTGACCACAAGCACTCCTTTTCATCTTGGAATTGTGAGGAGAATTTCTCTTCACTGCCACTACAAGCTCAACCACTCCAGCGCTCCTTCTTGCCTCAGGACCACCACCCAGAACTGTGACCCAGATCCAAGCACAGGCAAAGCAAGAGAATCCTGCACCAGCAAAGAGATCCCTGCAATTCCCCTCTGATCAGCCACTCGATTGCCCCTCAGTTTGTGGGCCAGAAGCTCAGGAGGCAGCCACCACCTCAGGGCTGTGCTCAGGGATTAGGGCTGTGAATGCACCACACTTCTCTCTCACCACCACAGACACTGACTTTTCCCACTGTTCTTCTAAGTTGTCTTTGGCATCCATGGGTTGAGAAGTCTGGAAACTGCCACAGCTGCCTGTTATTCAGTCCTCTGAGGCCTGCTCCAGGTTCACTGTGGCTTGCGTGCCCATGCTGAACTGCGTTCCTCTCCCAGCCCGGCACGATATACTTTTCAGATCAACCATCCAGGGTGTCTTGGCCTGGAAATTTGTTTCACTCTATCTTTTTGTGAGTTCTGATGCTTTAGAATTTGTTTAGAGTCATTTTTTACAGGTATTTGGAGGGGCTTGGGGGAGAGCTCAAGCAAGTCACTGCTTTTACTCTGCCATCTTGGCTCTGCCCCCATTTGAGATTTTCTTGGCAGAGCTTCTAGAGTGATTTGTCATTACCTTCTCCTGTTCATTTTACTGATGAGAAAACTGAGGCAAACAGGGCTAAATGTCTTGCCCAGGGTCACATGGCTAGTAATTGTCTGAGGCCTGATTTGAACTTGGGAAGAAGTCTTCCTGACTCTAAGCCCCTGCTCTATCCACTGTGCCACCTAGCTGCCTTACCTGGGGCCTCTATCCTAAGCACTCCTGCCATGAACTCCTCTTTGAATCCAGTACCTAGGATTTACCTGGAGCTCCTTCCCTATCTCTGCCTGTTGACACCCTAAGGTCCTGCTCTCATGATACCATAATACCATAAGGATACCTGTAATAGGGTATCGTAGTGGGAAGAAAATTTGATTTAGAGTTGGGAAGCAGGATTTTCTTGAGTTTAAATCCCAGCTCTTCTCACTGCCTATGTGACCTTTGCCACATCACAATCTCTCTGGGCCTATTTCCTCATATATCACAGGAGAGAGTGTTAAAAGGAAAATTCCTTATTCAAGTTTTCACCCTGATTAATGAGGCAAAACTCAGGACAAAGAGAATTAAAAGAGTTTATTAAAATATATCAAGGCAGCAACATGTTTGTTGAGCTGATCAAGAGATCAGCAAAGGATTCAAGATGGAGCTTTTACTGATAACTTTCATAATGAGATAAAGACAATTCAGAGAGTTCCAAATAAGCAAAAGAGTCTGGGCCATTGCATCTCAGTTCCTCCCAAATTGCCTTTATGTCAGGTTTAACAGGTACAACCATCACAGGTAAGGATATCTGATGAATATCAAGTAATACAAAAGCTGGGACCTGAGTGATACTTTCCCCACCAGAACCTACCTCAACAGAGCCTCCCTCAACACTGATTTATAAGCAGGACTGAAAACAATAGCTCACTGAGTCAGCATGACTTTCAGTAATAGGACTGGATGATCTCCAAAGTCCCTTCTGGCTCTGAATGTATTAAGTTCCCAAAGCTGGAAGGATCTTTTCCGTCTCTGACCTCTTAGTTCTGTGGGCATAGCAAGTTCTAATTGGCATCTTACTTATCTATGATAAGACTTTTTTCAGTCCAAACTTGTCATTTCACTGGTATGAGATATTCCCAGGGAAGAATCTTTCACTACTTATGCAGGTTAGAATTTGTGCTGTGACTTATAGATAGAGTTGCCTAGGCACTGAGGTCGAGTGACTTATTCAAGATCACACGGTAGTCTTCAGAGGTAAAACTTGAATGTACATCTGATGCTGACTATCTTTGTTTTATCTCCTCCATAGCTCAAGATGCTAAACAACTTGAGGGTAGGAACTATGTCTTATTAAAACCTGTACCTATCCCAAGGATATAACTCAGTGGACTGAACATCCTACGCACTCATAAAATATTTTCTGAGTGTTGAATGACGAAAACAGAATTGTCTTTACAGGTGGATGTGTTTCCTTCCTTTAATCAGACAAATGAGAGCTGCTTAATTCAATATGTTTCCTTCTTTGCCTCAGCTGCCAGAAAGCTCTGGGCTACATTCCATGCTCAGCTGTAGTAGCTAACTCATCCCAGGTGCCTGGTAACATCTACTTCCCTGCTCCTTTTAATTAGATTTGTTCTGTTTATATTGTTCTGTTTCATATTGTGTTAGATTTTACAGGCTGCTTGCAAGCTTTTTGGAGGTAGGCTGGTTCAAAATCTTCTATAAATAAAAGCATGCATCTGAAATATATCAACTCAATTTCTATTTCTTTTCTGGCAGGACTTGCAGATTATCAGCACTGATGAAAATGAGGTATTTGTGGCTGTCCAAGAATGGTACCAAACAGACACGTACAACCTTTACCAGTCAGACCCACAGGGTGTATACTATTCAATTGTGCTTGAGAATGTAAGGAGCACGAAACAACCGGAAGAGAATGTCCTGATCGATATCCTGGAGGTATACTACCATATGCTTCTAAATATCTATGTTTTCTGTCTGGGACTTGTGTGACCTTGGGCTAATCACAACCTCTGTGAACCTCAGTTTTGTCCAATGTAAAGGGGGTTATAAGGTCCCTTCAAGTGCTAGATGTGTATTCCATGACCCTGTGCTTACTGTGTTGAATAGCAAAGATGAAACGTGACACAATGTATGCCCTCAAGAAGCTTCCACTCTATTAAGGCATGCATACCAATAAGTGTTATGCAAAGGGATGGGAGCCAAAGAGAAGTCTAGACAAAGTCTTCTTGGGAAATTTGAAGAGGAGGTGGCATCTGAACTGATCCCTGGAGGAGATAAAAAAAAAAGGAAGATGAATAGCCAGATATAGGGAAGAAGAGCATTCTACAAATTAGGTGACAGTCTGAATGAGTGCACAGAGCTGGGAGAGTGGAACAAGATTGGAGAATACCTAATACTCCAATTTGACAGCAATGTAGAAAGTACAGAGGGGAAAATGGAAAGATAGGTTGGAGTAAGATTATGGAAGGCCTTGAATATCAGGGTAAAGGATTTGTATTTTATCTGAAAAGCAACAGAGAATCACTAAAGAATTTTCAGAAAGGGAAGGACATGGTCAGATCTATTCATTTAGAAGATTATTTTGGCTCTTCTGTGAAGGATACACTAAAGAGGAGAGACATGCAGCCAGGGGAAAAGAAGAGAGAAGCTACTACTAACTGAGCCAAAAGACTCTAAGGTCCTAACTGGGTCATGGATCACATTCATTTAGTTTTGAGGTATTTTCATTTCTTCTCTAAGTGATGTTTTCAAATGCAAATTCAAATTTCAAATTCAAATATGTGTGTGAAATATACAAGATTACAAAGGAAGCCACTTTTGCTGAAATAGTTATCAAAATATTTTTAAATGCCAAATTCACAAACATAAAGTTAAAAACCCCTGCCCCTGCAAAAAGAAAAAGAAAAACCACCCTACCCTAGATTATGCTGTATAATGAAATCTACCTAAGACTCCAAACAGCAGAAAAACCATAGCCGTCCTATCCATAACATTGACCTGGTATGATTTTAGTCCCTTGAGAAAGTGAGCTGTCCCAGTCCAGGGGAACACAGCCCTTTCTTAGCTAAGCCAAAAGACATGGGTTCAAATACATACTCTCTTATAACTTACTACATATCAGGAAAGTTACTTCTCCCTGGGCCTCATTTTAGACATGTAAGTAAGGGGACAAGATCTCAAAGCCCTTTCAGCTATAACTCTTTGGGTTATGTGACATTTTCTTGGTCATATAGGTAGCTCAGTCAGCACTTGGTATCACCTCATTTGCTCTCTGGAGAGCACATTCACACATTTATGTTCAATCTCTCAGATATTTCAGCCATACCTGCTTTGCCTCAGAAACTAATGAATGTAACAATGTGTTTATGTTGAGGACATCCAGAACTGTTATGACATATTGATGGTCCTTAGGCAAGGTTTGAAAATTGTACCCCTGTAATTCGAAAATGATGCCCTTGTCTGTTCCCATTTTCCCAAGGGTTGTCACACATGACATTTCTTTAAAAAAAATAAGTGTTTTGTGATATTCCTTTTTGTATACTTTGTATATTGCTACCACTACCCAAGGGCAGTTAGGTGACACAGTGGATAGAGCGCCAGGCCTGGAGTTAGGAAAACTTCATCAAATCTGGCCTCAGATACTTCCTAGCTGTATGAGCCTGGAGAAGTCACTTAATCCTGTTTGCCACAGTTTCCTCATCTGCAAGATGAGCTGGAGAACAAAATGGCAAATCACTCCAGTACCTTTGGCAAGAAAACTCCAAATGATGTCATGAAGAGTTGAACACGGCTGAAAAATGACTGAACAACAACTATCCAATGATCTCCCCGGAAGGGAATGATCCCTTACAACAAATAATTAAAACTAAGCAAAACAAATCGTCCCACTGGTCATGTGTGACACTGCAGACTTCACTGGAAGGAGCACTGGCTTTGGAATCAGAGGACCTGGGTTTAAGTTTGTCATCATCATTCCTTGTGTGAACTTGGAGAATTCACTCCGTCTCTCTGAGCCTCTGTTTCCTTATCTGTGAAATGGCAGGGTTGGACTGGGTGGCCTCTAAGCTTCCTTCCAGTCCTAAATCCATGATCCTATGATTCTTTCTTCTACTCCACTGAGAAGAGATTGCTTGCTTCAACAATAATTTACTCAAATCACAAATAAGTTACTTTATTGAGTAGAATTCTGATGTTATTTTCCTTAATATTATTGTGGTCATTGCGTAAATTATCCTTCTTGTTCTTTTCACTTCATTCTGTTTCAGTTCATATAATTCCATCCAATTTTCCTTGGATCCTTCATTTTCATCATTTCTTAAGGCTCAGTAATAACTTATTATACATTCATACACCTTAATTTGTTCAGACATACCCCAATCAATAGACACCTACTTTGTTTCTAGTACTTGCTACCATAAAAGTACTACTATAAATATCTTATTTTTGCACGTGTGGAAACTTTCCTTTTATCTTTACCTCTGTGAAGCAGTCTTATTAAAAACAAAGGTAGCTTGTACATCTCTCTATCTGGTGGAAGATAGGGAAAGTTTGAAGGGAAAGATTGGCTAGAAATATAAACCAGTTAGTGCCACATTGAACCAATGTTCTTTGTCTGCTTACCCATTTGTCCAATACAACCTGACTGCTGAATCAAATGGGACACGTAGTTTGGTGATGTTTTAGTAGAATGGCAAATTATTTTCAAGAGTAATGGAGCTAATTCACAGTTGTCATGTAGTGCATTCACATGTGTGTCCTTCCACAGCCTCTCCAACATTTGCCCTTTTCATCTTTCGTCATCTTTGTTAATTTGAGGGATATGAGATAACACTGGAGAGGCTTGGATTTTTTTAAATTTGTACCTATTATGAGTGATCTCAGGTATTCTCTCAAATATTGTTGAATCTTTGTATTTCTGCTTTTAAAAACTATCTGTCCCTATTTTATGATCACTTCACTGTTTGGCCAGTGTTTTTTGTTCCTATATAAGTTGGCTTCACTTCTCTATGCATCTTGGAAGTATCAAACCCTTATCAAATATATTTCAATGAATACTAGCTCCTCTTCTTATTCTAACTGTGCTAATTTTGTTTCTACAAAAGCTTCTTAAAATATTGTAGAATAATTTTTTTTCATCTTTCCTAATTACCTCTATACTTTTGTTGGTGAAGAATTCTCCCTCTAGCCATAGCTGTAAAAGGTACCTCCTTCCATTTGCTACTAAATTTGTTGTAGTGTGGTCTTTTGTATTTACACCTCCTATCTATCCATTTAGAGCTTATTGTGGCATGTGATTTGTACCAAATTGCTTTCCAGTTTAAACAGCAATTCTTGTTGAATGGGGAGTAATCTTAGCCTAGTAGTTTCTGTTCATTAAACACTAGGCTACTAAGTTTATTTGCTTCAGTGTCTCTACAGTGTGACATTCCAAAATCGATCTATGCATGCAAGAAAGCAGAATTACCTGGCTTACAAAATATTGGAAAAAAATTGTACTAAAATTTCTGCTGTTCTTGTATTCCCTTATTTTAGGCAGCTGCCTGCCTGGCCTACCCCTAGTTTTGACTCTAGGTACATTCACAGGGATTGATAGAAAGTCCTGGTTGTTTACAGTTGGGATGTTCATGATCTAGAGATAATAGAGCAAAAATAAGTTTATTCTTGCTCAGAAAACTTTTACCTTGGTCAGAGATTCCCAAGATAAAAACCATACTTGAGGAGAAAAAAAATTAAAAAAATTATCACCATGACTAGTCTCTAAAGTTGCATTGCTCTTTTTTTTCCACTGCCTCTGTCCAGTTCAGATTTCTGTGCAATACTGATCAATAGGTTTTCCTAAAATATCCCAGCCTAATTTATCACTCTATTCTTGGCTTTAAAAAGTTGATTATTGTAGGCCAGGCAGAAATGCTACTGCTATCAACTAAACACATCACCCAGTCACCTACCTAATACACACACACACACACACACACACACACACACACAGAGAGAGAGAGAGAGAGAGAGAGAGAGAGAGAGAGAGAGGAGAGAGAGAGAGAGAGAGAGAGAGAGAGAGAGAGAGAGAGAGAGAAGAGAGAGAGAGAGAGACCACTACCATGCCATAGTGCCCCTTTTACACTGCAGCCCAGAAATTATTGGAAGACACAGTCCCAGTATCCACAATTCCATGGATTCCAAGATTATTGAAAACAAAGGTAACTTGGATAGTTTTCTATCTAGGGGAGGTAGGGAAAGTCTGGAGGGAAAGATAGGCAAAAAAATATGCATCAGTCTGTGACACATTAAACCATTGTTCTTTGTCTACTCACCTATTTATTCAAAACTAAACCATTGAGGTTTAAAACCTCACTCTTTTTCCTAATTTATTCCATCCCTGTATATAACCCCAAGGTACTGTTATGAATTCCTGAGTATGAGCCTTCTTCTGCCTCTAATATCATAGGATTTTCAGTGGCGGATGTAGTTACTTAAAAAGAAATCATGTTATTAATCCACACAGGAAAAACCAAATGGATGAGGAATCCAGATGGTCAGATTATGACATACAGTCAGATTGCTAGCCCACTGGCTACATAATGGATAGGCATTAAAGATGGAAGTGAGCTGGGCCCAGAGGTGAACAGGACATGGCAATAGGACTGGATATCATTAAAAGAATTGTGAAGTATTTCCAATGATCTCAATCTGCAAAGGTTGATATATTTGGCAATCTCCCTATGATTCTTTATGTCAATTAATAGTAATAATAGTTATTACTGTTATGATAGCTAACATTTATGTAGTGCTTACTATGTGCCAGGCAGTGTGCTAAGTACCTTACAAATATTATTTTATTTAATCCTCACAACAACCCTGGGAGAAAGATGCCATAATTATTCCCATTTTACAGTTGAGGAAACTGAGGTAAACAGAGGTCAAATGGCTTACCCAGAGCCACACATCTAGTGAGTGTCTGAAACTGGATTTGAACTCAGGTCTTCCTAACTCCCAGTCTAGAACCCTAACCATTGTGACACTCAGCTGCTCCAGTGGGTCATATAGCACAAAATCTCAAAAGAATCCAAATGGCAGGGACCCAAAAGAACAATAACATAATGTATTGTGTATGTAAATAGGCTCTAATATATTACAGATGATGACTTGCGAATAAAAGTCCAGGAAATGCCTGATCAAAACAGAAGGGAGGCTAATGATGTAGCAAGAATGAGATATGGCCATGGATAAAGCATATATCCATCTCAGTATTCACTTCACTGATATTAATGAAATGCTAGAAAGGCATTGGGTAGCTTGTCCATGAAGGATGATCACTTGATCATCAATGATCATTCTCTTGATCACTAGCCTGATCAACTAGATCCTTAGATCATCATTTTGTAACCCCATTGCTAAGCTTTATATAAATATAAATGTTTTTTTTCTACTCATACCCTTATCTTGAAAGCAAAGAGAGCATTCAGTCAGTATCACGGACCCTGCCCAGCACCATGATGCTCCTCAGACATAGGGCCAGTGGCACAGAGCCAGTAGGGCCACCTGAACTACTCTACCTTAGCACATCCATGACACTTTTTCATATAATACTTATCCCTTAGGGTTTTGGGGAGGGGAGTCCTCTATAGCCATAAAATGTTATGCAAATTTGAAAGGCCACAACTACCTATAAGTATTATAAACCCCTAAGATCCCAGGAAAGGTGACCCCAAAAATTATTGTATGCCACCCTGTGGCAATGGCTAAGCAGGCAGATTTGTCTAATATTTACTTAGGATATTAGTCTCGCAATGATTATTATTTGCTGAAGGCACTCACTTAGCCCTGATCAGATCCTGGTTCTATCGTGCTAGGAACAGAGAGGTCTCCCTAAAGAGAATACCAACACTTTAAAAGGTATCATGAAGAAACACAAAGAGCTGATATTCCCATGTGTCAACCACCCTTAACTAGGTTTGAAGCCACTTCCACCATGACAGTTCCCTTCTGCTTCCTAACACAGTGATGTCTCTTTTGAAGGCAATAGCAGCAGGTTTCTAATTCAAGGTTCAGTAACTTGCAAAGATGGCGCCTCTCCAGAGGGTTCCTCCAGAAATCAAATGCATTGCTAAAGCAACAGGAGTGGTTGCCCAGCTCCCATCTGACACTGCTGGCTCATCATTTGTCAGGGATGACAAGTGGAACGAAGTCAGGAGCTCCAAATTATGATCATTTCTTTCAAACTGATAGCTACATTTTAATGGTGTTTTTCTTTGTCTAAGATATTCACTGTCAGGGTAATTCCTGTTTTGTGGGGATATATCTAAAGTACTTGATTTGGATTCAGACAGCCTGGATTCCTAGACCTTTGGGAGACTCTCTGAGAAGTTTCCACTATGCCTTGGGTAATGAAAGTTGTCATGAAGCTGAGTGATTCCCTCCCCACTTCTGCCCGGGTCCACTATAACCATCATTCTTAAGAGCAGCATGCAATGCAAACAGTGCTGGAATATGCTTGGGCAAACTAGCCATGGTAACTGAATCTCAGCTCTGACAGCCAGTTTCTTGTCAGATACTGGAGTTCCATCCCACAAAAGAGTCATATCCCCATGTAGAAGAAGGTCCATCATTTTTATAAGGAAGGAAGACCAAATCTCATGTCATCACATCTGATTGACCTCTCACTTCTGATGTCTCAGTCTTGTAAACATTAATTAGCTAGAAAGTTGGCTCTGTCTGAGAAGGGATGCTGTATTGATGGAGGAGCTCTAGCAAAGGTGCAAGCTGGAGGAAGCAGGAAAGTTAGGGAGGTGTTTCCAGAGTAATTGTGAGGATTACATTAGGTAATATTTGTAAAGCACTTAGCATAGTGACTGGCACATAGTAGGCATCATAGAAATGCTTATTCCCTCTTCCCCTATCCCAAGGTGTATAGCAAATGTTTGTTGAGCAGATGGAGGAATGAATGCATGAATGTGTTAACAAATGGGTAAATGGACTAATGGGGTACACACATTTTTCTAGCTGTACTTGAGTATTGACTTGCATATACTGTGGAAGAGAAGCCCAGAATCTAATTGCATTTCTTTATTGCCTGTCCCTGAGCCTGGGGGACTTGAAGGCAAATGAAGAAGAGCCTTTTGAGTCATAAATCACAGTGGGCAGAGGGGCAGCAGCACTGGAAACAGCCCAATGGTTGAATGGGCAATTCCAAAAGCTTGTTCTTGATTCTCATCATGTTTTTGTCACAGGTCAGAGGGGTGAAAGGAGTCTTCCTGGCCAACCAAAAGATTGATGGAAAGGTCACAACACTGATAACTTACAACAAAGGCCGAGACTGGGATTATCTGACTCCGCCTGCCACTGACATGAATGGCAAACCCACCAACTGCAAACCTGTAAGTAGCCCTGGGTCATTACTTGGTTGTTCCATCCACTATGTTACCATGGGTAACCTGGGATTTCCTTGGATATCCACCTCCAGCGCGGATCTTCATCCCTCTGTGCTTTGTCATCCTGACCATTCTAGCTCATGATTTTCCAAAAATCTATCCAATGCACCTGGAGACCATCCTCTGGTTCCCATAGCACCTCTTAATCTATTGAATCCCTAGTCATGCTTTCAAGATTGACTGAAATCACCACTCCTTCCAAGGACCTTTCCCTGATACCCTGTACAGGGAATCCCTTGGGACCTTTCACATTGATTTGTTTTTGTAGCTCTCTAAACTACTTGGGATAATAGGTTCATAAGGATGCCCTTTGGTCCAACCTCCTTACTCTTCAAATATGGAATGTACAGCCCACAAAGATGAACATTGTATGAGAAGTGATAGAGACCTATCCCTTGAGTTATCAATCTATCATTTACTCATTCCCATGAGCACCTCTCCTTGTATGTCAGAGTTAGGACTTGAACTCAGGACTCTTAGGTAGGCTCTCTGTCTACTCTAACATGATGCCACTTACAAGTAACAACACCATGTTAGCACGCAATAAGTGGAAGAAGCCTGCATACTGCAATGGAAAGCATATGGAGAACAAATAGGTCTTATAGTAGTAAGTAAGTAAGATAGTGCTTATTCCCTTCCCAATTACCAGCTCTGGCTATATGACCTTGACAGGTCATTTCCTCTCTCTGCCTCATTTTATACTTCTGCAAAATGATGACAAGGAGGCAATCATGCTCTGAAATCCTTTCTAGCCCTGAATCTATGACCCTAGTGTTATCAAACCACTTCTCTTTTGTATGCCTCAGTTTCCACTTTTGCAAAATATGGGCCTTAATTTCACTTCAAGTTCTAAAAGACTAGGACTCTGTCAAACGAGAAATAGACACTAAAGGAATATAATAGTTCTACTGTTCAACTTTTGAGTCAATTTCCCCATCAAGAACCATAGAAATTTAGCACTATAGGAATTTAGGAGATGGTATGCTCATTCACAGGCAGCCAGATGACTCAATAGATAGAGTGCCTGGCTTGGAGTTAGGAAGACCTGAGTTCAAAACTGGTCTCAGACACTTCCTAGCTGTATGACCCTAGGCAAGTCCCTTAACCATATTAGCCTCAATTTTTTCACCTGTACAATGAGCTGGAGAAGGAAATGGCAAAGCACTCCAATATCTTTGCCAAGAAAATCCTAAATGGGGTCATGAAGAGTCAGGCATGACTGAACAACAACAACTACTCATTGCCAGCCAGAGGGATCAGAGCAGGGGTCTTCGTGGAAAACTGGGCATTCGTGCCAGTCTTTGAGTGAATGGCACTCTCTTATTCATAGAGTATAGTCAACAGGCAGTTGCAAGGAGTCTCGAAAATTGCTGAATTCTGTTAGTGTCATTTTAAAAACTGCATGTGGTCGTCTCTAGCTGACATATGCATTCTAGAACTGCTGTTTAACCTCTGTGTCAGTTTCCCCATTGAGAACCGCAGGACAGTAACATCTGCCTCTTTACATTGAAAATTAATTATTTCCTATTTGCTAAAAATCAAAGGTCCTCCAAGAACAGCAAAGTTAAAAAAGGGCTATTATTACTGTTTATTATTTTTATTATTGAAGTGAAACCATATGAGCCTGCCAAAGCAAGTTTTTGCTAAGAATAGAATTTGTCTGTGTGAAAAATTTGTCTGCAATTATACAGCCCACTGAGGAGAGAATCTTTGAAAGATTTATGTCTGTGCCTTACAATAATAAAAGTAGGAGAAAATTGGTGAAGTGTGTCGTCCAAATAAGGTACGTGGGTAGTCAAATTGAGCACACAAAAAAATGTTATAATATACAAGGAAAATAAATTGAGCACAAAGGATATAAAATTAAAATTAAGCAGCAGTCACTAGGCCCATATTGACGTAATGGAGGTTTTCACTGAGGGCAGACACAACATGGCGAAGGAAAATGGTAAGATTTCAATGAAAGAATCTCTTGGTTGGAAGGAAGCTCAGAGGTCAGCTAGGACAATTCCCACCAGTATGGGAATCCCTTCCATAATATCAATGACAGATAGTCATACGTACTCAACTCGAGTACCTCTGATGATGAGCAACTCACTACCAATGAAGGAAGCCCATCTTTCTTTGACAGCTCTTTCTGGGACAAATACAATTTCCATTAGACAGTGAGCATCCTGAGAGCAGGGACTTTTTGTTTGTTTGTTTGTTTATTGCCTTTTGTGTTTAGTACAGTGCCTAGCACACAGCAGGCTCTTGAGAAGTACTAGCTGACCATACATTGTTTTGAATCAATTAATGTGGAAGCAACATGGAGTAAGAGAAGAATAAGGTCTGGAGGCAGAAGGCCTGGCTTCATATCCTGACTCAGGTTTACCTAGCTTTGTGACTTAGGCCATGTTAATTACTTTTTCTGGGTCTTGGTTTCCCAATCTGTAGGTTGGCAATCATAAATTTAGAGCTCCAAAGAACTATAGAGGCCACCTAGTCCAACCCCACATTTTGCTAAAGAGGAAATGGGGGACAAGGGGAGTAGTTGACTTACCCAGGGTCACAAAGGGACTTAGTAATAGAACCAGAATTCAAACCCAGGTCTTCTGACTCAAAATCTAACATTTTCCCCCTGGTTATCAAGGCATCAAATAATGCTTACTTTGCCAACCCTGCAGGATTATTTTGAAGATCGAAAGCCATAATATGTTTAAAACACCTTGTAAAATGTGAAACTATAGAAATGACAGCTATTATCATTACCTTGAATTCAGAGAGAAAACCAAATTAATGAATTCATCAAAAACAAAATGTAAAACTTAACAACTCAGGCTTTTGTGTGTTATGGTGGAAAGGGCACTACTAGTTTGGGAGTAGGGCAAAATGAATTCTAGTCTCAGCTTTAGTACTAATAAGCTGCTTGCCCTGGATGAGTAGTTACCTCCATTTTCTGAACTTCAATTTCCTCAAACAAGAGGATCTATAAAAACCCAGCGCAGCCCTCCTAGTCTGTGATTCTGTCACTGTTGGGATTAGGAGAAATGGTGGGCATCCTGTTTTAAATGGTGGTAGAGAGTCTGTACTGAAATCTTCCTACTGACAGCATTTAGTTTTAATGCATGATGGTTCGTTGCAAATTGTAGATATATAAAAAAGCACTTGCATAAACATTCTTCCATTTGATCTCCAGGTTGACTCCATGAAGTACATGATGATGATGATGATGATATAGCATCCATTTGTATAACACACTTTACAGAAAGCTTTCCAGAGAAAGTCCATCAATTATGCTAGGAGAAACTTGACAAGGCAAAAATCATCTTCAACTTCTGGGGAGTGGTAGGAGGTGGAGGTAGTGATTTCAGGGTCACCTTCATAGAAGAGATCATTGAATGAAATCTGAACACCATAAGCCAGTGAATTTGATTTTAGTTCCTGAAAAAAAAATCTGAAATGGGTTATTAAAGGGATGGTTAGTGAAAATCTAGAAAAATTATTTTAAAGCCCCAAAATGTTTTGTCAAGAGTAAATTATACCAGATTAACCTCATTCCCTTTTTTTACAGGGTTACTAGATTAGGGAATGTTGTAAATAGAATTTACCTAGACTGTGGCAAAGCATTTAGCATTTCTCTTATAGTATGTTTGTGGACAGAACAAACAGATGTGGGTTAGAAAATGGTCCTCCTAGGGGAATTCAGAACAGGTTTGTTCCAGCTATGTTGACTGATTCTAGTGTTTATTCTACTACCTAAATTCTACTAGGGCATCTTAATGAGTCCTCAGACACAGTCCATGAATATTTAACCATGATGCCAGCAGACCTCATCCCAAGACCCAGAGCAGTTTATGTGTAGCTGACAAAAACTAGAAGAAATTCAGAGATCAGTTTGAAATTAGGGCATGAGGATGGTCCAACTCACGTGAGGAGCTTACATGGTTCCATTAATTTTCCTAGTTTCTGGTGTCTCCACACCCACCATCAACAATTTTTTTCGTAGCCAGAAGTTCCCGTATTTTCCTTCTTTTCTTCTCTAAACACTTTAATAAGAACTTAGACACAGCACATTAATATTTAATCATATTACCCTACCTCCCCCCAGGACTCCAAGGGAAGAGATGGGAGGGGAGGAGGCAAGAGCTATTCTGTTTTCCCTGTGTTCTGTTGGGGACTAAGGCAGCAGGAGAACTGCTTCTCCAAATCAGTCTGACCACTGATTGAAACTGTAAACAAGCTGCAGTTATAGATAGATGTGCAAAATTAATAAGTTCAAAGAGATGGGATGTTTTCTAAAATCAGATACCGATAGATTCTTAAATAGAGGGAGAAAGAAGACCTGGGATCTCTCCTATAATGTCAGTCCACCATGCCCACTCTAGATCTTGACGTCTCTATCACTGAACAGGGGTTATTCACATTTGCTCTAGATTGGAGTATCTGTGCTGTGTATGATCCAACTTGGAGGGAAAAGAATGTAATTTTCTCATGGGACTCCTGATGCCCATAACACCTTCTCACATATTTCTGCCATTTGGAAGCCTACCCACGCTTTTAGACATAGTTCTATGACCACTCTTCCAGAAAGTCTTACCTAATTTCCTCGCCTCCTGAATCCTAGACTCCATCTCTCTCACCTATAAATTCTCATAGTAATTTCTTTATCTCTCATGCACACAAATATATTGAAATGGTTTAGACAATCAAAAAAAACCATTTAATAAACACTTTTTATTGCCATACCCTGTGCTAGGCTTTGTGGATACAAAAAAAAATGATACTGTGCCTCTCCTCAAGAAGCTTGCATTCTATCAGTGGAGTCAACATATTCTTATAAAATGAATGAATGAAAGAATGAAAAATAAAAAGTGCCAGGAATACACACAGAAAAGCAAGATAGGCCAGGCTCTCACAGATCTCACATTCTTACAGGGGAGACACATATATAAATTTCAGCTGTG